GATGAGTTATATGATTTTTCTCAGACCCAAATAGCCCTCTTCTCTCATTGTGACAACCCTTCCTTCAGATAAGCCATAGATAAGGCTTGGTGACTCATTTTCTTCCCATTTGTATGGATTTTTCAAGTTTTTATGCAGCGATCTAATGCTTGTTTTCAAAAGTAGACAAAAATCAAGTGCTTTTCCAAAAGAAATCTAACTTGTACAAAATTTAAATGTATATGATACATTGGTTGTAGGGGAGGGGATAGTTACCTACTTTACAAAATAATTCTTCACATTCCAGAAGAACTTGCTTCCACAAACATATCCTTTAGGAAGGAAATCTGTCTAGTTTTCAAAATGGTGGTTCACTGATGAACATTCGGCATCTAGGCTCAATGGGCATGGAAAGTATTGTTCTTATAAAAGTAAGCCACACCTTCAAAATGACTGTGTGGGGGCTCTTGGGTGGCTCAGTTGGTTAAGCGTCTGCCTTCGGCTCAGGTCATGATCCCAGGGTCCTGGGATCCAGCCCCGCATTGGGCTCCCTGCTCTGTGGGAAGCCTGCTTCTCCCTCTCCCCCTGCCCCCTGCCCTGCTTATGCACGTGCGTGTGCGCTCTCTCTCTCACTCTTGCTCTATCTCAAGTAAATAAAGTCTTTTAAAAGAAATGACTGTGTGTTTCACAAATAATTTATGGGGGTGGGGGAACAGCCAAGAGATAACACTGGGCTTGGTACTAAAAGTTTTCCACAAAAATAATCGGCCCAATGTGGAATATCATCAGGCCTTCCCTTATTTGGTAACCATCTTAGGCAACACCCTTGCTGTGGACAGAGGGTAGTATGGAGGCCTTAAAAGATTAAGGTCTTACTCCCAGAAAAACGCAGAATCTAAGGGGAAAATGGAAATGAGTGCTAAGTGGGTCAATAAAGCCCCCAGCCAGTGACCCCATGGGAGCCCAGGACCAGAGCACTGGCGGGGTGGGAGGGGAGCCTGTACGCCCCCCCACCCCTCCCCTGCCCCTGCCAGCATCGAGCTAGGGGCCCGTTTTGCCATGTCCATCTCTGTCTCAATGGAGTAAGTACTCAATTCTCAGTGAAGGACATATTGGAACTGACAGCTTCACCATTGTGTATATAATATGTCATGGCTGACAGACGAAGAAATGGGATTCTGTGAAATGCAGCAGGATGTAGCCATCAGCCAAGGCTGGAGAAAAGCTGTGTTCTCCTGGACCCCTTAGAGAGTACTCCTTCTTGGTCCCCCTTGCCCCTTCTCCGCAGCCCATCTCAGTGCGGGGTTTAAAGCACCATTTCCCCCTATTAGTCCTGATCCTTTGTTGTGCTTCCCTTTTGTCCACGCTGCCCTTTGATTGCGGAGCTCTCCCAGCAGGGCAAATTGCAGCTGAAATGGTAGAAACAATGAGATCAGGCAGTGTCCAGATGGAGGCATCGGGAACCAGGCACACTTAACTGCATGACTTTGAGCTGGGCTGCCCTGGGTGTAAGTGAGCAGGCCCCACCTTTCAACTATCACAGTGAAATCCACCCCCCTGACAGTCACGTGGCCTTCCCCAAAGGCAGAGTTAATTGGAAAGTGAAAGAATTAACAGGAGATGAGGGAGAACTAACAGTAAAAATTGCATTGAAGAGGAGTTACCTTGCAAGTGCCTTTAGTCCTTCAGTATTGGGGAAGGATTTTTTTATTCATTACCTAATGCATTTGAGTGCTCCAATTTCCTTATGAGCCATTATCAAACGAATGATTGGCAGCTTGTTATCTTCTGTGTGCAGCCACGTATTTTGTCGTGGTAATAGGCTTCTCAAACATGATTTTGTTTATTCACTCAGCAAACATTTATTGGGAACTTTCTAGGTGGTTTGCTTTGTCGTGGGCACAGGGGATAAGAAGATAAATGAGTCTGTGACCTCAAAGTACTTATAGTCTAGGAGAGGGAGATAGAAAAGTACACACATAAATAGCATAGAGCATTAGAAGGATTGTGATGGATGTCTTTATGAGAGACAATGGTGCATGCAGAAGGAATGACATAAGAAAATAGGCTGGAGGATGTTGTAATATACAGGTCATTAATCTCACTATTGACCAAATAAAATACCCATCACAAAATGCGTGTTCCTTAATTCATTCAATAAACATTTGTTGAGTGCCTACTATTTGCCAGGCACTGTGCTTGGTACTTCTGTGATGGTGTATACAGGCTAGAAAGGGAAACCAGCATTAATTCAATTAATGCACAAATCAAATATAAAATTAAAACTAAGATAAAAGTCCCAACAAAGATGACCTACAGGGTTTCATGAAAACTTATAAGAGGAGTATTTCTGTAAGGCAGGGGGCCTCCCTACGATCGAGCTGAGAGTTGAACACAGAGAGTTAATTAAGGATTCTGCTAGGCACCAAGAACAAGAAGATGGAGCAATAGAAACAAACAAACAAACAAAAAACTGGTGAGAATCAGGGACCAAGAATTCCAGGTTCACTATGAAGCCTCTGTGTGGACTTCTGTGACCAGGTCTAGAAAAGTGGGGGAGGTGGAAGGAGTACGGGAGACAGGGTGACTATAAGTCCTGCTTTGCTGGGGTCCAAAAGAGTAACTCAGATTTTTGGTCCCATGGCAATGTTTAGTAAGTGCCACCACTAACTCTCAAAAATGTTCTAGTATGAGTTATCAATTATACTGTTGCTCTAAAGAGTAGGACATTTTGTTTCCAAGCCCTTTTGTAGACTTGTCATCCTGTGAGTATATAGCCAGTGCCAACTAAAATCTAAAGCACAAATGACAAATCAGCAAAGTTCTGATTCATAAAAAAAAAGATAAGTGGCATTTAATATTTTACGCCGTGAATAAGATTTCTGTTTTTAGTTTTTTGTTTTTGAAAATGGGACAGCAGCCTATGTGCCCAGCAGTAATTCCTAGCAACTAAGTCAAGTGACAGGATTAGTTCTCTAGAAGTTGATGATGGTGGTGTCCACTAACCATTGCAAGAGGAAGAAAAAAGGAAATACATTTTTTGTCTTAATTTTCCCCTGGGCTTAGCTTGGGGGAGATTCTCTCAAGATACTTAACAAACAGAATCCAATACTAGAAGTATAAACAAGATTTCTCAATATCAGAGAGGCAGAAAATAAACCTAGGGATTCCAGAAATTAGTGTGAAGGAAACCCTACTTGCTTTACTGCATTGAATTTTACCCATAATGCTTCCTGACATCTGTGTTTTGATTCTTAACAGGGACTATGGTGAAAAGTGTTTTCTAATGAAGTATCAATGCTGGAGCATCAATGGCAAACAGATTGGTATAGATAGATGATAGATACATGGACAGATACATAGATAAAGACAGATACACGTTACAGGCTAAAACTTCCTAAATCCACTAAGCCAATCACCCTTTACTTCTCAGTGGAGATATTACCCAAAACTTTCTTCGGTTTACTAGTATCTTCCCTTCTTTAACAAATCTTAGGATAATGCATGCTGTACATTTACTACTTGTGTGTATAAAACAGGACTTACAATAAACTTTGAGGAATGCTTCTTTTGTACCAGTAGCATGGCTTAAAATCTATCGGAAATAACGTTAGCATTTTTACATTAAAAAGTTTTATGTCTCGGGGCACCTGGGTGGCTCAGTCGATTAAGGGTCTGACTCTTGGTCATGGTCTCAGGTCCTGGTCTCAGGGTTGTGGGATTTGAGCCCTATATCTGGTCCGTGCTCAACACAGAGTCTGCTTGAGTTTCTCTCTCCATCTCCCTCTGCTCCTCCCACTCATGCTCTCTCTCTCTCTCTAAAATTAATAAATCTTTAAAAAAAAAAAGCTTTAATGTCTCAAAATGATGTGTTCAGTATCTACCCCCTTAGTGATTTTGTAGACACTAGTTATGTTGGGCCTCTAGCACAGGTTCTGCTTTTCCCAACTGAGGAGTTGGTCCTAAGGAAGGTGCCAGAGTCTGGAGACTTTCCTTTAGAATTCATGTAGGGAAGGCACAGCTGACAAAGTTCGAAGGAGTGATCTTGAATGACCGTGCTTTTTTTTTTTTTTTTTTTTCAGATATTTGGTTGTCATTTGTCTGGGTTTAGACATCTGTATGAATCTGTAGGCATTTTTTTTTTTTTTTTTTTTTGGCACATTCGTCCAGGAGACTCAAAGTTCCTTTTGAGACTGTCCAAGAGTTTCCTCAAGATTGCTGTCAGTGCCCAACCCAGGCTTCAGGATGCCTCAGAGGGCTACCTCCCAAACACTGCTCCACTCCTAGAGTCAGAAGGATTGAAGGTCTTTTGTGCTTCTTTCCTGCTTCATTTCTTCTTCTCTGTGTCCTTGACCAGCCCCCTTGGCCCCACACATTCTTCAGACTTCCCTCCCCAATCCTTCAGCTCGTACTGTTTTCCCTTGTTGCAGTGGTTCTCAGGGAGCTACTTGTTGGAGCACAAGAGATGCTGAACTCCAGGGTAAAGTGCAAACAGAAATGAACTTTCGTAGGAGGAAGCAAGGGAAGGACGTGAGTTGGATGGGAAGTGGGGACAGAAATCAGAGGCAGCTTGAGTTAGGCAAAGGGACCAGGGAGTCAGGAAGTTCACAGTCTCTCCTGGACTCTGCCACCATGGGCAGGACTCTCCATTATACAAATTTCAGCTCTTCCATGTGTACGGTCTGGCACTGGCCTAAGTGACGTGCGGGGCCTGTTCTCTCACTAGAGAGTTCTTATTCCGAGATTGCATTCAACCAAGATGGGTAAAGTTCCTGTTGTTGGGGGGCAAGGAGGAGTGAAGACAGCGACTAAAGCATCCTTATTAATGTTCCAAATCAGTGCAATATATTTTTACTTCTGCAGATGAGAAAACCTCCAAAAGCATTCTGGAATTAAAGGTGGTTATTTCCAACTTTCAAATAAGTAAGGCTTTTGACATTGAATTTTAAATAGCTCTAACATGTTCATCTTTGTTTCTCTCTCTCTCTCTCTCTCTCTCCTTCTCCACCCCTCTACCTTAGGCTTACGAGCGGCCACAGAAACACTCAAATCTCCACTATGACCCAGGCCTCCCACAGGACGTCACCAGTGACACCTTAAAACCAAAGCACCAGCAAAAAAGCAGCAGCCAGAACCACATGGACTGGTCCACCAACTCTGACAGTGGACCTGCCACTCAGAATTGCTTCATCAGTCCAGAGTCTGGCAGAGAAACTGCAAGCACCAGCAAGATCCCCGCTCTTGAGCCCGTGGCTTCCTTTGCAAAGGCCCAGGGTAAGAAAGGCAGTGCAGGGAGCACGTGGAGTCAGCTGTCCAACAGCAAAGATCTGCTCTTGGGAGGTGTGGTCCCATCCCCAGGCAGCCACAGCTCCCCAGCCCCACCCAGCAGCTCTGTCGAGTGCAACGGACTTCAGCCCTTGGTAGATCAAGATGGAGGAGTTGCAAAGGAGCCCCCAGAACCACCTACCATAGGCAGCAAGAAAAAGTCCAGTAAAAAAGATGTGATAAGTCAAACCATAGCAAACCCAGACCTGGACTGGGTCAAGAATGCCCAGAAAGCATTTGACAATACAGAAGGGAAAAGGGAAGGCTACCCTGCAGATAATGCCCAAGAGGCATCACCAGCCAGGCAGAATTCGAGTTCTGTCAGTAATCCTGAAAATGACTCAAGTCATGTCCGGATTACTATCCCTATCAAGGCACCCTGTCTAGATCCAACCAGCCATAAGAGGAAAAAGAGACAGTCCATCAAAGCAGTGGTAGAAAAGATCATGCCAGAGAAAGCCCTGGCTTCTGGAATCACTATGAGCAGTGAAGTGGTTAACAGGATACTTTCCAACACTGAGGGAAATAAGAAAGATCCCCGGGTCCCTAAGTTGAGTAAAATGATAGAGAACGAGTCCCCCTCAGTTGGCCTTGAAACAGGTGGAAATGCCGAGAAAGTCGTGCCAGGAGGCGTGTCTAAGCAGCGGAAGCCACCCATGATCATGACGCCTCCAACATGCACGGACCACTCTCCATCGAGAAAGTTGCCAGAAATCCAGCATCCCAAATTTGCTGCGAAACGGAGGTGGACGTGCAGCAAACCAAAGCCCACCAGTATGCTCCGGGAGGCAGTCCTGGCCACCTCCGATAAACTGATGGTGGAACCACCGTCTGCCTACCCCATCACCCCATCCAGCCCTCTGTACACCAACACAGACAGTCTTACTGTGATCACGCCCGTCAAGAAGAAGCGGGGGCGGCCGAAGAAGCAGCCTTTGCTCACGGTGGAGACGATTCACGAGGGGACTTCCACCAGCCCGGTCAGTCCCATCAGCCGGGAGTTCCCTGGCACGAAGAAAAGAAAGAGACGACGCAGTTTAGCTAAGTTGGCCCAGCTGGTGCCAGGACAGGACAAGCCCATGAGCGAGATGATGTTTCACAAAAAAGTTGGAAAGCTTGGGGTGTTGGATAAGAAGACCATCAAAACCATCAATAAGATGAAAACACTCAAGAGGAAAAATATCTTGAACCAGATCTTGTCCTGCTCCAGCAACATTGCTCTGAAGGCGAAAGCTCCCCCGGAGACCAGCCCCGGGGCAGCAGCAATTGAGAGCAAATTGGGCAAGCAGATCAATGTCAGCAAGAGGGGAACCATCTACATTGGCAAGAAGAGGGGCAGGAAGCCAAGAGCGGAGCTGCCACCCCCATCTGAGGAACCCAAAACAGCCATCAAGCACCCAAGGCCTGCTTCTAGCCAGCCGGACGTTCCAGCCGTGCCTTCCAACTTTCAGTCCCTTGTGGCATCTTCACCAGCAGCTATGCACCCACTTTCAGCACCGCTAGGTGGGTCAAATGGCAACCTGAGCCCTGCCAGCACTGAAACCAATTTTTCAGAGTCGAAAACTATGCCAAATCTCCAGCCCATCAGTGCTCTTCCAACCAAAACCCAGAAGGGAATCCACAGTGGAGCCTGGAAGCTGTCCCCACCCAGACTGATGGCCAACTCGCCTTCCCACCTTTGCGAGATCGGGTCACTCAAGGAAATCACGCTGTCCCCTGTGAGCGAGTCACACAGTGAGGAGACGATCCCAAGCGACAGTGGCATTGGGACGGACAACAACAGCACATCTGACCAAGCGGAGAAGGGTTCAGAATCCCGACGGAGGTACTCTTTCGATTTCTGCTCCCTGGACAACCCGGAGACCATTCCGTCCGACACCAGCACAAAGACCCGGCATGGCCACCGGCAGAAGCATCTCATGGTGGACAACTTTCTGGCCCACGAAAGCCTCAAGAAGCCAAAGCACAAGAGGAAACGGAAAAGCCTGCAGAATCGTGATGACCTTCAGTTTCTGGCAGACCTGGAAGAGCTCATCACCAAGTTCCAGGTGTTCAGGATCTCCCACCGGAGTTACACCTTCTACCACGAGAATCCGTATCCCAGCATTTTTCGGATTAATTTTGATCACTACTACCCGGTGCCATATATCCAGTATGACCCGTTGCTCTATCTTCGCAGGACTTCAGACCTGAAGTCAAAGAAGAAGCGTGGTAGGCCTGCGAAAACCAATGACACCATGACAAAGGTGCCTTTTTTACAAGGGTTCAGCTACCCTATTCCCAGTGGAAGTTACTATGCACCCTATGGAATGCCTTACACATCAATGCCTATGATGAACCTTGGTTATTACAGTCAGTACCCAGCTCCCTTGTACCTATCACACACACTCGGAGCCGCTTCCCCGTTCATGAGGCCGACAGTGCCACCTCCTCAGTTCCACACAAGCTCCCACATGAAGATGTCGGGGACAGCGAAGCATAAAGCAAAGCATGGAGTCCACCTGCAGGGACCTGTCGGCATGGGTCTCGGTGACATGCAGCCGGCCCTGAATCCTCCCAAGGCGGGTGGCACCGGTCTGGCCAGCGGTCGGCTCCACAAGAGAAAACACAAACACAAGCATAAGCACAAGGAAGACCGGATCCTGGGGACCCATGACAACCTGAGTGGTCTCTTCGCAGGCAAAGCCACGGGCTTCTCCAGCCACATCCTGAGCGAGCGGCTGGGTGGTGCAGACAAGGAGCTCCCATTAGTGAGTGAGAAGAATAAGCATAAAGAGAAGCAGAAGCACCAGCACAGTGAAGCCGGCCACAAAGCTTCCAAGAACAACTTTGAGGTGGACACCCTGTCTACACTGTCACTTTCTGATGCCCAGCATTGGACCCAGGCCAAGGACAAAGGGGACTTGAGCGGCGAGCCTGCGGACTCGTGCCCAAAAAGGTACTCCGGCAGCGGGGGCGACAGTGGCGGCACCAGACCCGAGAGCCTGGACGTGTTCAGTGACATGAACCCTTCGAATGACAAGTGGGACAGTGACATGAGCGGGAGTAAAAGGAGGAGCTACGAAGGCTTTGGGACATACAGGGAAAAGGACATCCAAGCCTTCAAGACGAATCGCAAGGAGAGGAGCTCCTACGACTCCTCCCTGTCTCCAGGTAAGGCGACGTTGCTCTTCAGACTCGGCTGTCTTATTATTTAATTGCTGGCCTTTGCTCTTAAGGAGGCTGCCATCCTCGGCACATTGCATTCACCGGTTTGCAGAGAGGTAGGAACTAAATGAAAACGGACGTTCTTGCACATTTGATACATGTTTTTTATTCGGCATTTGCTGTCTTTCCTTTCTCAGAGTCATGTCTGGGAACCGTAGGCCCAGAGACACCCCCAGTAGCTACCTAGACTCCAACCACACCCATTGCATTTATGCTTTTTATTCAAGATGCCATTCTTAGGTCCTCATCTGATCTGATGGCGCAGTTTGCTAGTTGGATGAAACCTCTGAAACTCACTAAAAAATGCCAACAAGATCCCAAGGATGTCAAAGCTGAATGGGAGTGATATCTCATTTATCTGGCAGGCCACCTCTAGAGGTCACACATTCTAGGGGAGAAGTCTACAGCAGAGCCACTGGAAGCTCCTGACCAATGAATCCTCTAGTGTAGCTAATGAGGGAGCCATCGCCCCAGGCTCTGTTGTCCTTTCTTTGTCCATGGACATTTGCATGGGCCCCCAAAGAGAAGCCCTAGCTCATCATTTCCCTGCAGGAAGGGGAGGGAGCCTGGCCAAAGGGTGTTGCAAGCCTCCTGCCCCCATGGGACCTTACTGCTGTGTCTCTTGGCATGTCCGGAGGGAATGGGATTTTTCCCACTAATCTCTAGACTTGAAGTACTGGTTACTACTAGAAAGAGCTCACCCCTTGTCAGTTGCTGGCAGAATTTCTTTCCTAACTTTCCCACCCACACAGGCCTTCCTTGCCACCGAAGCTTGACACGTCTGCCTAAGTATCCCTTTGTCCCTGTCCACACATCGCATAAGTGATAACAATCTTAGAGAACAGAACAGTTGTTCATGAGGGAAAGAGTAGAAGCTCCTTTCCTAGGAGCTGCAGAAGCTAAAAGGATTCTCATGCCCACCCCCCCCCCCCCCCAGATAATATAAAGCACTCTGGCCATAGCCTGGTTCTAAAAGAGGAATCGTCCCTGGTTCAGGCTTGGGTGCAGTATCTCTCCTGTTTATCATGTGTACCTCTTGCTCGCTGTCTTCCTTCCCGGGGAGTCCATCATTAGTGAGGGTGAGGGCAGTCTATTCATGAAGAATTAGAGTCATTTTTCTAGGCCGGCAGACTTCAGAAGAAATATGATTATGAGTTAGAAAGCACTTAAGGATTGCCCCAAATTGTCACTAGCTTGTGAGTTGCTATAGTGGTAGATGCTCTTCTTGGTTAATGAAGAGACCAATTAGCAGTCGTGTTTCCTGCTGAAGGTGATAAATGTCCCACACTTCATGTTTGCCCAAAGAGGGTGTTCTCATCTGGGTTTCCCTGTTTCTCACCATCAGACTTTGTGGAAGGGGACTTGTTTTTTATGCAAAGCCCAAATTAAGCCCACCTGGGCGGGAATGGCTAGATTAAACTTTTTCGTGGGAAAAACTATTGCTTTCTCATCCAGTATAGTGAAATTGAACCACAGGTCCAAAACCAGCCATGGACAGAGGGTCTTCTTATTTTTTTGTATTTTCTTGGCACTATTTAGCAAAAAAGTAATGGTGCCATGTTATTGCTAAGAACCTACAAGCAAGGATCCTAACTTAATAGACCTGAGACATAAGATCTCAGAAGCTGAAACCTCTATCCATTGTTGCTCAGTAGGTTTCTCAGCAGTCTTACCAAGATTTTCGGTGGTTAGACTGGATTGCTGGGTGCTGGTCGACTCCACAAGAGTTCCCAGCTAGAGATCCTTCCCTGATTCCTGTGCGTGTCTCTGAAGGTGCCCACCTCTAGCGTACAGCTCTCTTGGGGTTGGCACTCAATGTAGTGGCCATTGCTTTCTTCTAAATTCCCCTTCTTCTTCCCATCTTCTCATCTGTTCTTCATCTGGCCAGATCAGATGGAAAGAAACAGGCATTGTGACAGTGTCCTAAAAGAAAGCTGGATTCAACCTAAAAATTGGGTATGAGGCCCAACTCTGTTATGGGGGCCCTAAGGCATGGCATTCTGTTTCTTTGGGGTACTGTCTACCAGCTGTAACTGACAGGATTGAGCCAGACCTCTTTCGTATAGTATGTTTCAGTTCTTAAAACCATTTCACATACATTTCTTCATAACACTTACCCTACAATCTTAGAAGAGAGGTATTTTCATTCCTATTTTACAAATCAGGATACTGAGGCTCAGAGATCAAGTGACCTGCCCAGGTTTAGAATCATGGCTAGAATTATGATTGTAATAAGCCCAGGGCTTTGGCCACAGCACTGCAGTTGGCCGCATGCCACCCAAGAGCTAAGCCAAATCTAGAACACACAGGTCCTGGTCCTCAGCTCAGTGCTCATATATTCCACCATAGCCCTTCCTCTCAGATACCCAACCATTCTCCAGTTACATGCCTTTCCCTAAGGCATCTGCACGGTGATGATGTGATGATTGCAGAGAGAGTAATTAAGGAAAGATGACATCCCTTTATTCAATTCCCAACCAGTGTAAAAGGACCCCTTAGGGCCCAACCTTTTCTAGCCATCCCCTTGGAAACATCGACATGGACAGGCTTCCCTCTGTGTTCTTACTGCAGTGCACTTCTTGGAGTTATTTTTGCCACTGCTTTGTGCCTATCTCTATGTTATAGGAGTTTATTTTTTCTTCAACATTTTAGTGAATCATAATCGTTGGTGGTTTCTATGTCTATATGACTTATGTCAGTTGTCCCTGCACATCTTGTTGAATATCTTACTGGAGCAGATCAGATTCTCGATCATTCTCCTCCCTTCCAAGCTTTGGCCTCTCTTCACCTCTATTCTGAATGTTCCCTCTATTTCTGAACCCCCAAAGCATCAGGGAAAAAACATGTCTTTAGCAGCACTTAGGATTCACTGTCAGAGTTTGTCAAGTCTCCCTGAAGAGTGCTCACCTTAAAGTGATATACTCCAAAGAGTAGCAAATCCCATTCAAAGGTGGGAGGCAGGTGGAATGAGGCTGAGGTTATGAGAAATCTTCCGGAGACATTACCTGAGTCGAGGTGTCTCTTCCATGAATGATACTAAGGGTTCTGTTTGAAAACAAAGCATCAGTATTTCTCACAGCTTCTCTCCCTCCACCCCTTCCTTCTCCACTCTGGATTCACTCCCTTAGCATCCCAATGTCCTATTTCACATGAGCTAGTCTTCTCCGAAATAGAGCATATATAGCGATGTCATCCTTTAGCCCATTGAGGACCAGATTTAGGAGCTAAGTCAAGGGAGGACTCTGAGCATTCCCTGAGATCAGAGCTGATGGAAGACACCATGTAGATGGAAGTCATTACCATTATGGAGACAGAAATTAGAGACTTCATTTAGCTGCACACTCCATTTCCTCTTTCCTGCTTGGAAAAACACCCATTCTCCAACCCCCCAGCCCCACAGATGGATGCACTGACTTGTTAGCCCCCTTACAACGCGCCTAGAGCTCAGAAGTCACAAAGACTCTACCATTTTTCTGCGTTTTACTCCTTCTGCTTTGTTTGTTTCAGAAGGCAGTGGCTCTTCTGACCTGTTTTCTAAATGGATACCATCTGCTAAATCTCCATTTATAAAAATGCTTGCCTGGGACCAAATAATGGATAGGTAGTGGGAAGGTACCATCCACAGACTCCCAACGTTGGAAGAAGCCTGGTGGGCCCTCATGTGCACCTCTCTCCCACAAGGCATCACCATCTCTCGTAGACTGACATGCCTCAGATTTCCCGAAGAGCAAACCTGTCCAAGTTTGACAACACATAGTCAGAGTGATGCCACGTGCTCTCAAAGCCGACTTCTTCTTAGCTGGTGGAAGGGGTCTCTAGTGTGAGTGATGTTCTTCCTGTTCAGACCACAGAATAATCTTTGCATACTTTGATCTAATATTTAGACATAACCACTGCTGTCCAGGCTCCCATCAGATGTTGGAGAAACAGTGAAAAGAGTCAGTTTACCTATATTACCTCTCAGTCCAATACATTATTAGTCAAGGTAGCCATCCTGAGTCCCCAGATGTCAAGTACTTTCCTCATGATGAATGGATGCTGAGAATGAATCCTTAGCTCACCTCTCAGATATCAGAATCCTGCCATGTAGGTAGCTGGAGTCCCTTGAGCCTGGATGACTCCACCTCTTCTTGTGGCTTCTGTCTTGCCCTTTGCCAGCTCCTCTTATCAGCACCATGGGGCATTTTGGGAGGCAGTCTCTGTTGTCACTCATAGGCAGGAAATGGATGCCCATGCCAAAAATAATACAAAACCCTCCTCCAAGCAGGCATCCAGATGAGGGAATTAACCACATAGATGAGATGACATGAAAACTATATAAAAGAACCATGTGTGGGGAACATTTTCTACAAATGGAATAGAAGGAAGAAGAAGACTCATGAGAGGAGAAAGTTAAGGCCAGGAGAAAAGACAGAGTGAAAAATAAAAAGCTGATGAAGTGTAGTCTGTTTAATCTTAATCCAAGTTGAATTCTGGGTCATCCTGTGGGAGGAAATGAAAGATAAATTAGCTAATGGCTGCTGTGTGGTTTAACAGGATTATGAGCACCTGGCCCAGTCTTGTCTCCTACACTAACCAGCTGAAAGACCTCTTCATCTTTTTCACTCTCTGTTTTCCCAGGTGAGCCTATGGTAAGAAAAGCTCTGACCAGACCTGACAGTCTCAGATTCTAAAAGTCTCAAATTTATACAATGCCATTTTTAAATGCAAACACATGCGCCCATGAACGTGCACACACGTACACGCTCACGTGCATGCACATACACACACACACTCACACACACACACAGATTGGACAGTTAGGAAGAAAATGCTCAAGTTATTGGCCAGGTTGGCCAATTAATTAACTGTGCAATGAAATTTCAAAATAGATCCCTCTGGTCCATGTATTAAATTATGTGACTCACCCCATTCATCTTTGGCTCCAGCCACTTCATCTAGCCATT